GACCCGTTGGGGTCGAAAATTGACCAAAAATCGACCTGTATGTGTCGAAAATTGCCGACGGGTTTCAAACACAAAAACTTCACAATCGACCTCGAAGCTCACCAAAGACATCGATACTTACCTTAATGGCTTCTCTTTCCACATATACTACCATATTATTGTCTTATAACTCCATTTTATAAGTTTTGTGAGGTTTTGATTTTTTGAATTTGGAGATGTTTTGGAGGATTTAAGAAGATGAAAAAGATAGGGTTTAATTGGGTTGTCGCGGCAGTTACGAGCACGTACGGTGGCGTTCGGCGGCGGCGGCGTCGGCGGCGGCGGCGGCGGCGTCGGCGGCGGCGGCGGCGGTCAGGGTTGGAGAGGAGAAGAAATGGTGGAGGTTTTTTTTTTTTAACAACAAAGGGTTTTTTTTCTTTTTTTTTTTATTTGGTTTTTGAATAGGTAATTTCTAATAAAATTTGATATAATTGATATTTTGTATGAAAGGGTGTTTTTGTAATTTTCTTTTTATTTTGGTTTTAAAGTAAGAAAAAACTTATAAATATGTACTCAATTGTGGTTTTCAACTAGGTAGTATTCAACTAAGCAAAAATTAGTATTCAAAATAGTTGCCCCCTTTGGTAAAAGGTTTAAGTAAGTCGATTAAGTTAGTTGATTTTTTGGAATGTGACTTTACAGATTTTTTTGCAAAACTTTTGTATTCTTCACATGTTCGATTATTTAGATTTTTTTTTTTTTTTTTTACTTCGATAGTTTTACGTTTTTGTGTGACAGGAAGATAATCAGACCGATGGGAGTGGCTTAATTCTGCAGCAATCAGAAACTTCGGGCATCGCGTTTTTCAGGCTGTAGTTATATGCACACCTGATTATTAGTTTGCTTTGTTAGTTTTAAAAAATACGAAATTTCTTTGTCATACGATTTGGTTTCATGATGGATTGTGTTGTAGATTTCAATTCAAAAGTTCGAGCAAGTGTTCTTATAAGAAAAAGGAAACTAAAGTTTGGGTTTTCTTTCTGAATACATTTTGAAATAGGTTCTTACGATTTTTATTTTATTTTATTTTCATTTGGAAACAGGAATTCGAGCGAATATCTATATAATATATAAAAGTTGAATTCCATAGCTAATTGATTGACATTTGGCAATTTCAATTGATGACATGTCCTCAATTTCATCCCATGTGGCGAATTGATTGGTGGAAATAAATCATAAAAAAATATGTCATCATTTTCCAAAATTAAAGGTAATTAAATAAATTTAATTATTTTCTTAATCTATTTATATCCTACCATTTATAAAATGCTCTAAATATATCAACTTTCTTAGAAACCCTAAATAAATTTATTTTTGAATTTAATTTTATAATTAATTTAATTTGAATTTAGTTAAATTCGATTTAAAATCTTCCCTTATTATAATTGCATGATTGGTGGTGTTACGGATTTTTTAATTTTAATTCATAAAATTGAATTTATATTAAAAATATATATTGCAAAATAAATTATTTGATATTATACATTTCACATGAACATGAGAATATGTATTTTTTTACTAATTTAATATTATATATTAATATTATCTGTAAAAAAGAAAGATACATGTTTGAATTTACTATCTTGCGAAAATTGACACTATTTGTTATGCCATGTGTAGAGTAATGTACTCCCAATTATTTACCATATTGAAAATTATACTACATGAATTTCATGTTATTATTTAAATAATTATTTTTTCTTCACTGAATCCAGTGACAATAAATTTTACGATTGATTTAACTTTTTAAATTATATACTAATCAAAATACAAATTTTATCATAATTATACTAATAAATTGAATAACCTAAGTTAAGTTTAATCAATTCATAAAAAAAAACAAATGGATTTTATATAATTCAAAATATAATAATTCTAAATCTTGGAATAAATTGTTTCC